TGAAGCTACTCATTCTCATCACATAGAGGAGGCAAGCAGCTCCACACACTCTAAAGCAGCAAATATGCAGCCCTCAGCCTTGACACCAATAATCCCTTCTACACAAGCAGTCTCATATACCACTGCATGCAGCCTGTTGCTGCATAATACAGAAGCACTAGGCTGCAGACACACAGAGAGATTTGTTGCTTGAAATACTAGTTCACTAGTGGCAATGAACTAGTCTAACCACCTTCTTAAAATCTATCTAACATATCTAACAACCTCAAAATCACACACAGGAGGCTTTCTTTAGAACAAAGCATTTTCATCTTTCAGGTGTCCTACACACCTCAAAAGGGCATGTATCACAGTTTGAAGCAATGATATATGTATGTAGCTGTGCTTATAAAGCCATTTATGTGAGGCATATTTTAAATTCTACTTTTTATGGCTGAATGCATTAAGTGTCATCCGCTCGCCAAATTTCCATTACATTTAAATCAAATGTTATATTTTGTACAACTGGGTGTACAAAATTATGATCCAATTGTGCAGGTTTGGAGAAGCAGTTGGGGGAGATTTCAACGGATAATGAGAAAATGGACAGCAGTCAAAGGTTTATCACGGAGAGATATGTGGCTTTAGATGACTCTGAGTGCATAGGCTTTAAATGATTTTGTGGTCTGAAACATAGGTTTTTATTAATTTGGTAAACACTATCCACAAAACAATAATGTAGGCTGCAATCCTGAGTAGAGTTAGGCTGCTTAATTCCCACAGACTTCATGAGTTGCTTGAAAGACTGTTTTAATTTGTTGATAAGTCTTAGTAAGTTCATTGAAATCAGTATAAAAATAGTTAAACAAATGTTTAGATTCACAAAATTACCTTAATAAGTTTTTGCACATCAGCCTTTGTAAGGGTCCTGTCCACATTAAATCCATTCCTTGGATCCAATACAACAGCTTTCACCTATAAGTAAAAAGAAACAGAAAACAAAAACAAAAAACACCAGGCTTCCAGTTAAATATTTATCTTGTGCTCTTAAAGATATATTACTGCCAAATACAACCGCAGAATAAAACAAATTAAATGTCCCAACTGCTCAAGGTTTCCCCACTAAATGTCATTTCCCAGTTTAATTTAATAGGCATGAGGACTAACTCCCTGGTCCTAACAAGCATATTTACTTGGAAACTTTATCAAAATCAATGGGAACTAAAAATGATTTTTAAATATGCAATAAATGGTTGAGTGGTTAATTTATCATACTATTAAATAAAATATAGAGCAGAGCCCCAGGGGTACAGATCTTATGGTGGCACTGGATAGAAGCAACCCAGTATGAGGTTTTATTCTGCTCTCAGTTCTAGCCTCCTTTAAAACATTGCTTGGAGAAGTGTGGTTGTGAGCTCTAGAGAACAAATATAGGGGCCTCATTCCCAGCATTTGGGGAAGTAAGTACAAATGTCATCATTACCTGCCCAGCTCAAGAAGCAAAATGCTAGAGTAGGTGTACTACTGTGGAAAGCACAAGAAGCAATGAGTCTTTCCCAGTCTGCAAGTGGAGGTAGAGCACTGCTACTGCGGCTAGTAGCCACTGAAAGTCATGAATACTCTTCTCAAACCATCCAGGTTGGTGGTCATCATTGCTTCATTTGGAGTGAGTTCCTCAGTTTAACTATGCGCTGCGTGAAAAAGCATCTTCTTTTGTGTGTCCTGAACCTTTCAACGTTCAGCTCCCTTAGTTGTCCATGGGTTCTAGAGTTCCAAGGGTTACCTGCATAACTCTTGTGTTACAGTGGTACCCCAGGTTAAGAACTTAATTCGTTCTGGAGGTCTGTTCTTAACCTAAAGCACCACTTTAGCTAATGGGGCCTCCTGCTGCCACCGCACCGCCGGAGCACGATTTCTGTTCTCATCCTGAAGCAAAGTTCTTAACCTGAGGTACTATTTCTGAGTTAGCGGAGTCTGTAACCTGAAGCATATGTAACCCGAGGTGCCTCTGTACTTGCATATTAGCCCCAAGACAATCATGTTTTGTGATGTTCTGTTCCTTTAACATTATTTTAATGCCACATGAGTGACATGTTAACATGACTATAAAGCAGCGTTTGAAACTCCCATTGTTCTAGGCGCATTTTGCGACAGGGAATTTCATTTGCGTGAGCAGTTTCTGAGCTCTGGGCACAGTACCGCGCCTAAGATTTCAGATTAAAACTGCCACTGCTGGCGCTGAGGGCCTAAGAGGAGAAATTCTCCCCACCTCGATATCCAAGAGATTGCTGCAGCATCAGGCAAACTGATAGGTTTAGCTGCAGTTCATTCATTTTCAGCTTGGTATTCTTGTTGTTTAAAAAAGTGCGCCTAGACATTCGGTTGTGGCTGTTAAGTTGTGGGCGAACATGTCAGACGACACAGCGATTCTTTAAACAGCTCTTCTTTATTCAGATGCCAGAACAGAACTAGGCTGAGGAGCTCAGTCAGCCTGCTTATATAGAGCTCCAGAACAATGCAACTGTTGCCGTTTTCTAAAACTATCCAAGCACTGAACGTCACTTTTCGATCCTTCATTTGCATACAAACTATCCAATCACTGAATGTCACTTTTCGATCCTTCATTTGCATAACTATCTACAGTATCCCTTGCTGGCCCAGGGTGAGAACTTCAGTACATAACACCGGCACCCATAACCTATGTTTAAGGTGCCATTTAGCTCCTAGCTTTCATATTTCAGTTTCTAACACTGCTAGAAAGAAGAGCTTTTAAATAAAGCACATTAGCAAACTGTGTATTTTGCACTTACCATGAATGCCACCAGAGTTTCTGATACGGTTTGACCTTTCATGGCACATTCTTGTCCTATTTCACGGATGATATTCTTTATGACACTTTCAGCTTGAGAGTGAGTCATTCTGCATTATCAAGATATGAAGGGCTCACGTTGTTACAATACATGGTAATTTTTTTCACAGAATAACTGACAGTATTGTGATTGCACATGCAATTAAAACTTCCTCAATCTTTTAAGTTTTCAAGAAGCTGCCTACTTCTGCATAAAGAAACAATATTATATAATACTTTAGTTAGGGATTATACATAAAGGTAAAGGTAAAGGTACCCCTGCCCGTACGGGCCAGTCTTGACAGACTCTGGGGTTGTGCGCCCATCTCACTCAAGAGGCCGGGGGCCAGCGCTGTCCAGAGACACTTCCAGGTCACGTGGCCAGCGTGACAAAGCTGCATATGGCGAGCCAGCGCAGCACACGGAAATGCCGTTTACCTTCCCGCTAGTAAGCGGTCCCTATTTATCTACTTGCACCCGGGGGTGCTTTCGAACTGCTAGGTTGGCAGGCGCTGGGACCGAGCAGCGGGAGCACACCCCGCCGCGGGGATTCGAACCGCCAACCTTTCGATTGGCAAGCCCTAGGTGCTGAGGCTTTTACCCACAGCGCCACCCGCATCCCTAGGGATTATACATACCTGTATCTTAATTGAGATTTGAAATTGTGCATTTTTGAGAGAAAGGGAGGCATGCTTGACACTCTTTTTGAGCATGCCTCAAGCCATGGAAGGCTTCAGTTTATGTATTTCTAAAATGTATCAGGCCTTGTTCATGTGAACTAGCTATGGCATTTAACTTTATCAGTTGCCTTTTGGGGGGGAAAACACCTTTGTTCAAGTTGATGTAATAAAATAGATAATCCTGATTTTATGAGATGAAATTCTAATTACTTTTGTGTTTTACATGTTCTTATTCCACTCTTCCACCTTTTTTCTTAAACTTATAATTAAGAGCTAGATTGTGTGTATATATATATATACACGCACACACCTTATTTGCTGTGTATATGTATATCTTAATATTTACTATGATTTATTCATTATTATGGATATTGATGTTTATGTGATTAATAATAATAAAGATCAGATTATGTAAACAAGATGGGTGGATGGGAGCGTGCCTTGCTGGATCCAAGGAACAGCCGGGAACTTTGGCTCCTGATGGTTCCTTTGGAGTCCCATCTTTACCCACACCATATCTGATGTCATGCATGGTATCAGGTGTGGGATGTGTGGGTATGACTTCCTAAAAATGGCCTGGTGGGCCATGTTTGGTACATGGGTCTGAGGTTCCCCACCACTGTGATATCAGTGACAAGAGTGAGAATTCCTGACTCCCTAGTTGTGTATGCCCCTTTCTGTCATGGGCTGTGTTTTTACACAGCTACCATTTGATTTTGATTATGCTGCTTAATGGATTAAAATATATCTAAGCAGTGTACAGAAAACTGAAGCAACAACAGGCAATTTAAGCCAAAATATTACACGGCTACAAGAAAAATGTTGGCACTCATGGCAGAGTTGCCTGGCTGTGTCCCGTCCTTGGGCTCCACATTACATTATTTGGGCTTCCAGAGTTAATTACAGCCCATGCCCTTTTTAAATGTTGGGGAGGGGTGTGGGTTTATTGGGCTGTTTTTGTTATCTATTTTGTGATTTTATGTTGTAACTGCCCTGAGACCTGCAGATATAGGGCGGTATACAAATTTACTAATAATAATAATAATAATAATAATAATATTTCTGGTATAAACAGTGCTCTATTCCCCCCTTTCTCCTCCCGCTTCGTGGAGTTCCTTTGCCCCTCAGCTGTGCGGCAGACATGAAGAAATTCAACAGGTGCTTAATTCTCTCCCCCCCCCCTCCAGAAGTGCAGCAGTAGGAAAACTTCACCTATGTAATTTCTTTGTTCTCCATAGCAAGGAAAAGCACCAGAGTCCTGAGCAGATGGAGGAAGGGGATACTGGCGACCCTCTTGAAGGAATTTAACAATATGTGATCTGCCACCCCGCTCACCTGGCTCCAGTAAAACTCTCCCCCCGCCCCTTGGCTCTCCCGTCTCTGTAAATAACAATAGTCTCTCCCCCCACAAGACGAGCACGGAGATTTACCTGCTTCTCCCCTCCCGCCTCACGCGGGGCCCTCGGAGCCTCCTTCTCTCGGCCCCTGAAATGGAAGAAGCGCCCGCGTCGTGTTTCCGCGGAGGAGCCGCGTCTCCATGGAGACCTACGGGGCCTCGGAGGTAGGCGGAGCTAGAAGGCCGGAGGCGGCGCGGTCTCAGGTCAGGCTCAGCGGTCTTCGGAATGGGTCCACACGCGTTCGCTGGGGGACTTAACCCACCTCCCGACCTCTGTGAGCTCCTGTCTCCCCGCCGCGGAGCTTATTGTCCCCACGCTTGCCTACCCCACTGTCCTCCCCACTTTATGGGGGCAATATTGGCTGAAAGCTGTTTCTCACATACACACACCTGTTGCATCCATGGGCGCAGCCAGGGTTGTTTTTTGGTGGGGGGCAGGACTTGGTTAGGGGAGGCAGGACTTTTGAGGGGGAGCAGGACCGACGTGATTGGTCAGTTAGTTAACTATTTCTATTGTTTTACTTGATGGGGGGCAGCTGCCCCCGTCCTCCCTGGCTATGCCTATGGTTGCATCCCACAGGACACGGTGCGAATTGTAATAGCCCACTGGGGTCTCCAAGCACGCGTCCCATCCTGCTGGAGGATGCGTCGTCAGCCTGTCATTCTTTGTTGCTCTTGCTGGAAACGCAGCCGGGGAAATGTCCTTCAAATCAGCATCTCATCCTAGCTATGTGCTAGGTTTTAAAACACACAAAACACAAGAGATTGTGACTTCCCAAATCCACCTAAGAGGCATTTGAAAGCTGTTTTCTGCACCCCTCTTAATAGCCTCTACTGTGGAACTACTGTGTTGGACACACTGGTTACTGTTAGGCCACATGAGATTGTGAGAACTGTTTTCGGCATGCTGCCTATGGGAGGACTTTCCTAAAGTGAATCCACTGAGCAAGGGAACATTATTTGCCAGCTAATTAATGCAGTCTGCTTGATCCTTTTGACAATCTCGCAGGACAACATTGTTGGCATCTGTCTCTCAAAAGACAATGGGGTATACCTTGTGGGGTGAAGTCAAACTGTTGAAGAATCACAGCACTGCTGTTGCTGTAGAGGCTGGTAACCATGATCTCCCATGTTTTTGCTGCATTAGCAGCACAGCAGCGAACTCTTGATGTGCAAGCCTGGGCAGTGTGTATGTAGGTCCTGGACTGCCAGGTGACAAGACCTCACCCCCAGCCTCGCTGATGCAGAGACTATACAGTGTCTGCTCTTTATTGAGCTTATAGAGCTTTCATTTTGTGTCCATCAATCATTATTCTGCATCTTTCACTGCATTTCCACATCACTTTCCTAACTGCAAAGTCATGGGGTGATTGATTTGTTGTGCCTCAACACTTCCATGCACTTTAATAGGGCACACCTATATCTGATTGTGTTCCAATTCCCATCAGCATGCACTTTAATAGGGCACACCTATATCTGATTGTGTTCCAATTCCCATCAGCACCGGCCAGCAAGACCAATGAGCTTATAGGTGATGGGAGTGTAGTCCAGCAACACCTGGAAGTCCACAGCTTTGCCGCCTTTATGATAGGTACTCATAGCCTTAGAATGTGTTGCAGTAAATCAGGGGCAATTTCATAGCTCCTCCATCCCCTTTCATTTTTTTTTTTTAAGGTGCTGGGGCTTGCAGTTGTTAGAAGCCACCCTTCTTGAGATGGCAGTATATCATCTTCAAATAAAATATGTATGGAGGCAGCTTACAGTTAACCCCGTGGCAAGGTGGGATAGGCTCTCTGCACATGTCCAGAGGCACGCTTGCTAGTTTCAGGGCTCAAATTGAGACATCCGTGCTCCCTGACTTTTTCAGAAGCAGCTCTCTTTTAGTATACAGAAGCAAGATTCTCCACCCACCCCTCAAAGAGCATAGCTTCACAATCCGAGTCACAGGGGAGTTCATGAGTTATCCAAGGGAAATATAGACACAGGCACACAGTTAAACCTTAGTGAGAGAAGATGGATTTATTTCTCCTCCTTCCCCAGCAGTTAAGCAACTCTTCTACAGCAAGACTGGATGGCTGCAGCAAACAGCAGAACTCCTTCCTGGTTGTCATTCAGCTTACGTTTCTACACCAGAGTCAACAAACTGAGATACTTTTCTGAATGGTAAGATAAAGTCTGCTTGCCCTGGTGCAAGTTGTGGAAATGTGAGGTTAATGTATTTCTGAAACGCTTCTCTTGTTTCTAATATTTCTGCTTCCAGGCTATCTTTCCAGTCTGTCATGCTTTCCAGTTGCTGGCTAAGAGTCAGGATCTCACCATTTTTCCTGCTCACCTCATGTGACACCTCTTCCAACTGAGCCTCACGGAGATTTTCTGCGTCTTTGATGAGTTTATCAGTTTCTTCCTGAAACTCTTTCTGGGAGATTTTAAAGGCCATTTCCATTTCATATTTTTTCTCCACGGACAACTGCTGCAGGTTCTTCTGATAAATTTCGTTGGCAATCTCTCCAGCTTTCCGAAATTGTTCCAAAAACTTCCTGGAGGGGTGAGAGAAAAGATCATATGATAACTTCAACATAATTTTTCATTACTGGCAATTTGAAAGCCAGTCTTGTGTGAACTGCACATTTCTTTCAGCTGGAGGCAAAGCGAAATGCCTTCCAATAAACTGGACTAAATCTGTAGGTGGAAACCAGATAGCAAAACTTCTGGAGACCTAACCCCCACCCTGCCCATCTTTACTATCAGATTCTATTAAATCTGGTACTATCCAACAGTACACATAACAGGGAGTTAACTCCACTGATCACATCAGCCTTGTTTGCAAATCACAGTAAGCCCAACAATGGCTTACCAGGGCTGTATCAACATGCAGGCTTCCAGAAGGAGCCCAACCTAAAAGAGGCTCTTTTAAAAAGCTAAGAGTTGATTTAGCATGTCACCTGAACCTCGGCTTGTGCTTAAGTGCTCTCCTCACTAACCACAAGCTGCATCCACACAATGCCATTGGCATCAAAATACCCATCAATTTAATCCAGATTTACTGCTGCCCATGTCCCATTTGCAATATCTCAGTGACCCATTAGCAAACCAATCCCACTTTTGAAAGCACCCACTGCACATCCAGCTCCTGCAGATTAGTTGGAGGAACACTGGTGGTGGAAAGTACTATATTTGCAGATATCTGGATGCAAACAAGGTCAGGTGCAGCTCTCTTAAACCCATCCCCTTATATTCAACAGGGATGGGAAGCCCAAGTCCCTCCAGGTGGCATTGAACTCATTATCCCATCATCCCCAACCAGCATGGTCAACTATCAGGCATGATGGGTGATGTAGTCCAGAGGTTTCCCCATCCCTGCTTTAAAATATGAAATGGGGTTGTTAAGCCAAGTACTTGTTTTGCTTGTCAAGCATTCCAGATATTTTGTTCCTCTCTTCCTGTCTAGCTTCAGCAATGGCTTTCGACTTCTCCATCGCGAGCTCCAGCATGAGTCGCTGAAGTTTGTGTGTCATCCTCTGCTCAGCAGCTTCCGATTCTCTTTTCAGTTCCAGTTCCAGGTGATGGAGCATTTCTATCCTTGTGTTCTTCACAGCCTCCTGCAGCAGTGTTGGAAAAACAAATTAGAGTAGGAAGGGAGGGATTAGGCTGCTTCATCCCTCTTTTAAACAAGACAAGCCTAGAAAGAGCGCACCACGCTTTATAAACCACTTTGGATGTAGAAAATGCAAGTTCAAATGCTTCAGCCACATAGCTTACTGAGGTTATCTTTCTGGTGACTATCTCACCAGTGCATTGACCGCTTAAGTTTTATATATTTATGAAAAATGAAATGCCCTTTTACAGTTTAAATAAATAGATAAATGTAGTTCTAAAAAAAAAGTTTTACTGCCAGCTCTTATGTGTAGAAATAGAATGAGACACAGACTAGAAAGGATGTCAAAATGCCAGTAATGAATCAGTTTTTAACTCTCCCATCCAGTACTTTATTTTCTAAAAAATGTTAAGGGATAGTCTCATTTCCCTACTCATATTGAAATACTGCCCCTCAATGAGGCCAAACTTAGATTCACAAAATGTTTAAGGGTATGTGTCCCCAGGTGTCCCCCTACAAAAAAAGCACTGCTCCCATCTAAAAAAACAAACAAACCTTCATTGCATGTCAGTGGTTTCAGCTGAATCTTTACCTTGACACCCTAGATTTTCATTTGTGGTGTTGTTGTTTTTTAATTCAGTTGAGTTTTCAAGAACAACCCATCCACCTACTTGTTACAAGAGAAATTGTGCCACGTGCAGCTTCTGCATGTTTATGTAGGTTTGGACCCAAAATTCCATTCATAAACAAAGCAGATTTCAGTTCATGGAGTGGGACTTTTTCTGCTTCTTCCACCCTTCCCTCTGCAGCCCCATACTCCCTTCCCCAAGAACTTGGGGGGGGGGGCTTCAGGAATGGTGTGGGACATACTGTAGAGGGATCCAGACATGGGGGTGTCAGTTGGTGGGAATCCGTCCCTACACAACTCCGAATGCAAGGCAATGTCTCTTGACATGTTGCAAACAAAAATAAAATGACTACTGACTTGTAATGCTTTTTCATCTTTCTCTTTAAGAGCTTCAATATCTTGCTGGTGTAGAGCAGCTGCACGATTGAGGGCATCTTCCACAGCATCCTCTCTTTCTGTTGCAGCCTACAAAACAAGGCATAGCCATGAAGAAAACTGTGCCGAGGACATTCTGATTCTGCACATCAGCTAGATCGCTCTGGGTGATATCCAACTAAGTCATAGTCAAAGCAGACCCATTAATATCAATGACCTTAAGCAACAAGTCCCTTAATTTAAATGGGTCTGCTCTATGACTTAGTTGCATATCACCCTATATTTATTCTTTCCCCATTAATTTTCTTTTTTAAAGCAGCAGCACAGCAGTAGTTCTCATAAGCAGCAGAATAGAGGATATGCCTATGTTTGAGCTTTACCACTCCAGACTAAAGGTGGCAGCTTACACAACTGTCTGTTCTTCCGTACAAAGTAAGTTCCCTGTACAGTGGTACCTCGGTTTAAGAACAGTCCGATTTAAGAACGATTTGGGTTACAAACTCCGCAAAACTGGAAATAGTGTCCCGGTTTGAGAACTTTACCTCGGTCTAAGAACAGAATCCGAACGGTGGAAGGGCACCGGCAGCAGGAGGCCTCATTAGGGAAAGCGCACCTCAGTTTAAGAATGGTTTTGGTTTAAGAACGGACTTCCAGAATGGATTAAGTTCGTAAACCAAGGTACCACTGTTACAGAGAAGTAGCAGGGAGAAGAGTTTGGGCCTCGTCAAATGTTTAGGTTTTCTTTGTGAAGGGTTGTGGGTTTGTTTTTGTTTTTTTACAGCAAACCTGTGTGCAGGGATTTTATTTCTACAGCAAACCATTCAACTGTGCACATGCCCACCTGCATCTGAAAGTGGTATAGCCCAGAAACATGTTGGCAGAATGATCCAAACCGTTTTTTCCAAATGGGCAGGCAGAGGTGGCACCAGAAGAATTTGCATTAGCCAGGGGAAAACCCCTAAACAGAGCTTTCTGGGGAAGGTGGTGAGCTGGCACAAGAGGCATTGGACAAATGGTCAGGGAAGAGAGCAATATCTGGAAGGCCACAAATTCCCAATTGCTGCCATGAAAAGACAGATGCTGCTGTTTCTACATGGCTGGTGGCAGTAGTTTCCCCAGGAGTAATTTAATGGCTATTTCATAGCTTTTGCCTCAGTGTTGCATGTAGATTGTGTTACTCAGGACCCTGCTGCACCAGCAGAACCAACGTCAAGCACACAGGAGAGCAGCTACAATGCACTAAAGGGATGAAAAGTTTGCTTCTGTGACACTGTGCAAAGGCGGCTTGGAACTTTATGCCATGTTTCTCTGCTGTCTATGGGAGACCTCTGCATCCTGGATGGGAAGATTAGAAGGAAACACCATACCATCAGTGTAATGAGATGCTAAGGAACTTAAAGACAACGAGCCACAATGCCTAAACAAATGTAGGATCAGAACACTGAACTGTTTCGGAAAGCAAGTGCTGAGATGTGTCATGGCGCACAAGCCCTACACCAGGAATGGGGAACCTGTGGCCTCTCAGATGTTTTGGACTCCGACTCCCATCAGCCCCAGCAGTTGTAGTCCAACATCTGGAGGGCCACAGGTTCCTCATCCCTGTCCTGAGTGAAGAGCTGATGAAGAGGCAAGGGTTGCAGTTTCACTCCCTCTCCCTACTCCAAGATAGAGTAATGAAATTGATATAAAGTGGGAAATTCCATCCTCACAGTCCAGGTGCTGAGTTAAAGAATCCCCCCTCTCTCTCTGCTTGCAGTTTATCTAACTCTGCTTTTGAAGGTCACAAGATCTTAGCTCACAGCGCTGGCTGGGTAACCATGAACTTTATTCCAAAATGCTAATACGCTGCAAAACTTAGAAATTCTAGGTTCCAATGAGAAGGGCAGGAAGAAGACACTGATTCATTGTTTTGTCAATGTAATTATTATGCTATTCCTATGTCATTTGTAAAATTTATTTTCTAAAGGTACTATATTTCTGTATTACATTGCTTTAATTTGCTCTATCTTTAAGTTGCTCTAATTTCAAAATATCATTATCTTCTACATGAAGATAATAACATGCCTTAAATGAAACAGTGTAGTACAGTGGTACCTCGCAAGACGAACGCCTCGCAAGACGGAAAACCCGCTAGACGAAAGGGTTTTCCGTTTTGGAGGCGCTTCGCAAAACGAATTTCCCTATGGGCTTGCCTCGCAAGACGACAGCCCATAGGGAAATCTCCGGGACAGCGGGGAAGCGCAGCGCGTCTTCCCCACTGTCCTCGGACCTCCTCCGAAGCCTGGCGGCGGGGCGGGGACACCTCCTCTCGCCGCCGCCAGGCATCGGAACGATGCCCCGATGCCGGGCGGCGGGGCAGGAACCTCTCCCCCCGCCGCCGGGCATCGGAACAATGCCCCGATGCCGGGCGGCGGGGCGGGAACCTCTCACCCCGCCGCCGGGCATTGGAACGATGCCCCGATGCTGGGCGGCGGGGCGGGAACCTCTCACCCCGCCGCCGGGCATTGGAACGATGCCCCCGATGCCGGGCGGCGGGGCGGGAACCTCTCACCCCGCCGCCGGGCATCGGAACGAGGTCCAGGACCTCTTCTGAAGGCTGGCGGGGGGCAAAAGTCTTTGTCCCCCCTGCCTGCCTTCCCAGGGGCTTTTAAATCGCCCCGGACAGCGGAGAAGTCCTCCGCTGTCCCGGGGTTTTTTAAAATGCTGGGGGTGGGAAGAAAGGCCCTTGTCCCCCCCCCAGCCTTCAGAAGAGGTCGGGGGACAGACTGTCCCCGGATCTGGTCTGAAGGCGGTTTCCCTAGGAACGCATTAATTGATTTTCAATGCATTCCTATGGGAAACCGTGCATCGCAAGACGAAAAACTCGCAAGACGAAGAGACTTGCGGAACGAATTAATTTCGTCTTGCGAGGCACCACTGTACACTGATAAATCAATTGATTTGGTTCAATTATAATATTGAGTCTGTGGTCTTTGGCACTGGCTTATGCTTTATTCCCTGCCATACTGGGTTGCTAATGAGCAAATCTGAACCCTGATCCGTAACACTGGTGAGTTAGATCCCCAAATTAACACATCAGAAAAATAAATACAGAACTGATCCATACAGTGGTATTTTTATTCAATTATTTTATTAAGTAAATAAATATTTATATCCCACATTGAAGAATATAGTCTTGGAAGGGTGGATTACAAAATAAACATTAAAAGCAAAACATTGTAAAACCTATAAAACTCATGTAATCATATATAGCAAGGTTAGGCAAGTTATAGCCCATATTGTTGGGCTGCAATTCCCATCATCCCTGAGTCCATTGGCTATGCTGTCCAGGGCTGATGGGACCTGGAGTCCCTCAGCCTCTGGAGAGTCACGGGTTCCCCACCCAATATATCACATATTTCTGTAAAATTTGCTGTCTGCATTATACATCAGTAAATATTCGCAGAAAGGCCCCAGTGCAACAGATTGGATAATGCGATGACAGCAGAACAGTTGTACCTGAAGCAATAGTCTAGTTTGCACTTTTTCAATTCGTTGTTGTACTTCTGCTTCTCTTCTATCTGCTTCTGCTTGCTTAATGTCAGCTCCCAATTCTACATATGCCAAAAAAACAAACAAACCACAATTGGGGAACAAAACACTACAGGTTATACATAAACTACGCGTGCCACCTGTTCCTTCGCTTGAACATTTAAGATAGACGCTTTAAGATTTAAGGTATTTTTATTTAATATTATTCAACCATGTATAATTTCCTGAAGGCTGGTGCACCCCCATCATTTTTAATGACCTGGGTTGATTTCAGTATGTAAAAAATGATTACCCAGATCAACCTGCTAGTAGATTTGACTGCTTAGAATTATAGAATTGTACAGCTGGAAGAGACCACTAGGGTCATCCAGTCCAACTCCTGCAATGCAAGCATCTTTTCCCCCAATGTGGGGCTTGAACCAACGACCCTGAGATTAAGAGTCTCATGCTCTACCAAGTGAGCTATGTCAGAACACAAGCAAGCACTAACATCAGGCTTACACCTAGAAGTGATGGCATGCATTGGCCCCATTCAGGAGAGCCTTTGTAGGATTCACACGTAGTAAGCCTGCGGGATTCAGCTGCTCTCTGGGCCTGCACATTAAAAAAGCAGGCCACAATGTGCACCATGTAGCACAAGCCAAGGAGTTCCACAGGGCACACAACAGTGCCCCACACAGGCACGAAGGCCCAGCTGTGCTTTGTAGCTGACTGGTAGTGCACCTGCTCTGCATGCAGAAGGCCCCATGTGCAATCTCCGACAGCTCCAGATAGGGCTGGAAGAGACTCGTTTAATATACTGGAGGGCTGCAATAGACAGCGCTAAGCTAGGACAGACCAATGGTCTGACTCAGTATAAGGCAGCTTCCTACGTTCTGTGCTAATGCAGCAGCAGCAGAACTCCCTCACCAGCAAGGCGATTTCCCAGTTGAAGCAGGCACTCTGCATTCCCACCCCACAGTGTAGATGCCCATTCTTCCTTTTCAAAAAGCAGAAGGGAAGACCATACCAACCAGGCACCTACATGAGCAGCTGCAACATGGAGCACAGTGGCAAGGGTGCAGTTCCAGCAGTTGGCACTATAGGGCGATGAATGAACATTGCATCAAGTGGTACTGGGCTTTTGTCAGAGACTGAGTTTTGGCCACTGGGAAGCAAGATCCAGGAACCAGTAATCAGTGGTCACAAATCAAGCATCAGCCACAGCTGTTAGCTGGGGAAAGCAGTGGCTGAATGGGCAGGAGAGTTCGGGAGTCTAGGAATGCTCCAAACCCTGTAGCCCTGGTGATTCGCCACACAGGACAGCGGGTCCTGGCTCTTGCTAACATGCCCACAGATCTTAAGACAAGCTAATCAAATGACTGGTCAAACTTTCATCCATTAACATATTTATCAAGAAAAAATGTATTCATGACAAATAATTTTTGAAGGTTCTAGAGGCCGCAGTAAATTCCATAGGTACGTTAGACATTGTACAAAGCACTGCTTTTGGTCTGTCCCAAACCAGTGTCATGCAACTACATTGATTGTGTTGACAGGGAGGCAAGTAATTATTATACTCTTCCTAAACTTTCATAAACTCTCCATCATGTCTCTCACACACTTACATCCTTTTATAAGCTAAAAGCCCTTCCCCTAACTGACGGAAGTATTTTTACCTAACTAAGGTCTCTACCCTCTTGTGTTTGTGGCCTTCTTTCTGCATTTTCTCCAGATTTTACTCTTATCCTGTTTAACATGGGGACTACTGCAACTGTAATTACTGTAATATGTGTGGATACACCTTAAGTGTATCTGAGCGATCAATGTCTGCATGAAAACAACTGAGCACCAGATATATTGGCTTTTTGGTGGACAGGCATGAGTATCTAAAATTAAATAAAGTAACTATATACTCACCCAATATATCTCTGTGTGTATAATACCGAGTTTTGTAAGGCTTGTATTCTCGAATCCGCTCAAAAGTCTCTGGTCTAGGAGGTGGTGGAATTAGTTTTGAACAAACAGCACAACAAACAAATGTGTCAAAATCTGGATTCCTAATCATGATTGCAGTCAAGATTTTTCCTCCTCCAATGACAAGTGAGGACTAGATGAGGAAGCGAAATCTTAGTTCTCATAGCCTAAACTGAATTGTCTTCTTAGAATCTGTGCATGCTAGGGGGAGAGAGAGAAAGGTTTCACCATTGTTTGGTGAGATTATTTGATGGCAAGATGGTACCCGCTTCAGCTGCAGCCCTGGTGTTAAGGAGCTCTGCCTATCATGTGGCTGTGAGAGGTCTCATAATATAGGCTAACTTCTCACCCAGTAACTGTTGCTAGGCTGGGTAAGCTTTGCTCACAAAAGCATTTTAGATCCTTTAAACAAATAACTTTAAAAAGTTTTGTGTGCTCTCCTAAGTAGTTTACACAGGATAGTCAAGCATTTAATAAAAGCTTAGGTTATCTTCCAGATAATAAGACAGATTATTATGCTTTTGCTGCTGTTTAATTGGCTCTATTCTATAGGTTATTTATTGTATGGCTTTTATTATCATGTATTGTTCTTTTTCTGATTTTCTGTTATCCTTTCTGCTCTTAAAATTTTGTAAGTCGGTGTAGCATTCTATACACACACACAGAACAGGCGTGTGTGCATGTGTGTGTGTGTGTGTGTGAGAGAGAGAGAGAGAGAGAGAGAGGTGCTTATTCTTAGAATATCTGCAACAGTGCTTATTCTTAGAATATCTGCAACAGTTGTTACAAATATTACATTTCTTAATAATGCTGGCTTTTTATTCAGTACAGGCAATATCATTTTTCCTAGTTATTAAAGGGCATTATATTTCAAAAGAAACATCCATTATTGCCAAGAAAAATGCTGGCTTTCCACACAAAATCCTGAAAAGTCACAAATCAGAAAACTAAATATACCACTTATTTGTGTCGCCTTACATGCAGAACATGTGCAAGTCATGCGTTTCTTTAGTCCCATTTAGAAGTCTTCCGCTTCATATGTCGCTTTCCCTCACTGTCAATAGCTTCATAAAGATCTTTTTTATTCTCTTGTTGTGCATGCAAGTATCCAATGTAGGCTACGCAAAGAGTAATCGTTACAAGCCCAAAAGCCATAACTGGTTTGTTCTGTGAAAATAAGAAAAAATACATACTAGTATTTGAATCCAAAATATTGTACTTAATCCAATTCATATACAAACATCTGTGTGTGCACAGGTGGGTGGGGGCTATCAACTTTTCAGTTACTTCTTCATTTTTGTTCAGCTTTCAGTATGGGAAATTGAAACGTACAGAATCAAACTGTTTAACCACTGTTACAATTCAGCATACCAGTATATAAAAAGTAAAAATGTTGACTGATTTGACTTCTTTTATCCCTCAAACATTTTGATTACTTTGATTGCATGACACTTGGGAATGAAGTTTTTGTATTTGGAAAAACTGCTATAGTCAACTCTGAACCCATGAAATAGTGGGATATAATTCTAATAAATAAATTGTCAAGGAGACCATTTGCCTCTGATAGTCATTGCTCTTTTGAAGTATATCTACATGACTATTGCAACCAAAATCTTGGTGCACTTAGCTCCACTTTACTTCATAGATTTAATGAAGTTTACCCAACTCCATAGTAAAAACATGTACCGGTATTTATAAAATGCTTATATGTAGACAGGAGCTAGTTATTAGATCATGAATGTACACACACCATAACAATTTCCCCATTCTGTGAACATTAAAAAACACACTGGAGATAGTCTGGCTTCCCCCCACCTCCAAATATGCCACACACTTCTGATTAGCTAGTTAACAACTTCATTTTTTCCATCAAAGCAAGTGCTGCTTGTGAATAAAATAAAAAAACCCAATCTATAATTAGATGTAATATGTAATATAATGAATGCACACACACGTATCGTGGCTATTTCTTAACAAGTTTCTTACAGGTTTAATAAAAAGTTCTGGGTTCACAGCACGGAACAAGGTGGTAGTTCGGACACTTCGGAATCCGGGAGTTCGATAGTCTTTCTCTTTGGGTGCTTCATGTTGTAAATCTGGAGGCTGAGGTGCTGAAGTCATCTTACTGCTGCATAAAACAGTTTGGTTTAGGTAAGTGCTCGCTTAGGGGTTCTGTTCTAAAAACATGTATAAAGGTAACATGTACAATACACAGCTTTGTGCTTGATTCGTGCTGGAATCCAAGGCTGTGACTGAGGGAGAAGCAAGATCTGTTAGGGTGTTATGCTGTGAGCCCTTTCCTCTTAGGCTCAGGTAGTATATGTGTAAATAAACCATAGCAGCAGCACATGCATTTCAACTCCTACAAACCCTGCCACAACTACAGCCAGTGTTTAGTCCAGGCATCCCCAAACTCGGCCCTCCAGGTGTTTTGGGAATACAACTCCCATCATCCCTAGCTAACAGGACCAGTGATCAGGGATGATGGGAATTTGTAGTCCCAAAACATCTGGAGGGCTGAGTTTGGGGATGCCTGGTTTAGCCAGTTAATGAGTTTTCCCCACCACTTTGAAAGCATATTATTCATGTGTATTCAAGCCCATCTGGGTCCCAGCTTCAGCTCCAGCCTGCAGGAAGGAACGAACATGTTGCATAGTCTGTTCATATCCATACTTTATCTCAGTGTTTCTGTCCGGACCTACCATGAGCATTGCATCGCGGTAAGGCGCGGGGCGGGATCGCGCGAGCTCGCGTTGGTCCGAAGGCGTGCTGACAGCAGCACAACAGCAGCAGCACTTAAATCTCCGCCCGCTATCGCCGCCACCACCACCACAGCCGCCGCCGCCTCAGTTGCCGCCGTCCCTCAGTCCCTCGCTCTGCTGCCTCCTCCCACCCCCAAAGCTTGGAGGTTCCCCGGGCGGGGCTTTAATGGTGGTGTGCCGCGAGATTTTTTTTCAGTAAACAGGTGTGCCGTTGCCTAAAAAAGTTTGGGAAACACTGCTTTATCTGACAGTAAATCCGTCGGAGCCCAGAGCAGTTTATTTCCAGGTAAATTTGAGCAGCAGCAGGCCTTACATCTTCCATCAAATATAATCTCACTCCTCACGCTATGGGCGTTTCACTACCAGAAGTTTCAAAACTTATATATAACTCACCTCAAGTTTTCTAGGCAACTGAAAACAAGTGGCTCGCTACACACTTTGCAGAACAGGCATAACAAAAGAGGGGGAAACCAGCTGTAGGTCATCAAGTTGCACAAATATTTATTCAGCTAATCCCACCCTTCTCACCCACCCCAACTGCGCCTCCTGGCTGGCAACCTTGAGACCATGAGTGCGCGCGACCCTCTTGATACTCCAGACCCACAAGCTCAAAGCCAGCTAACTAGAGCACAAGCCCCACACCTCCCTCAACCTGGCACCGCATTCAATACTGCAGCGGCGACCTGAAAGAAAGAAGGGAGCGGGGGGGGGCACCTTCGGGATCTGCTTCTCGCCTAGGAGAAAGATATCTCCTGCTCGCTCTCTCGCTCGCCTCCGAAACCCAAGCCAGCGCTCTCCTCTAAAGTAAACAGCGTCCTCCCAACGTCTTTGACTACAACTCCCATCAGCCCCCGGTCAGGCCGGCCATTTTGGACCGCGACTGAGGCTGATGGGAGTTGAAGTCCAAACGTCTGGAAGGCACCAGGCCGCTTTAGAGGAAGGGTTAACATCCCCCCACCACCACCACCATTACCGCCCCGCTTTGTTTCCGCATTAGGGGAATGGAGGAGGGTGGAGAGAAACTGCAGGAGTTGTGAAAGCTTCGGTCTTCACCGCAGTTGGGACCCTAGACAATAGTCTAGCAGCTTATCATGCGGCCAACCATGCAAAAGGCGGGAGGAAATTAAGGAGGCGACCCGTTGAAAGCAGCAGGACTTACTTCTGAGTAAACGTGCTGGAGATTGCTCTGTAAAGCGGACTCCAAAAATGTCTTTGGCTTCAAACGCCAGAGCGGGCCTCCTGCGCCTTTAACCGGTGCAAGAAGAAGCGACACCTGCTGGGGTTTTTTTTTCTTCCCCTTTTTCTTCCTCTTTTACACAAGTGCTGGATTAAAAGAAAGAGAACTTTAAAGGAAGAGAATTCGCCAGCCACTATGAATGCAATTCACGTGCATCACTAGTTTGCAAATATTAGAAAGTAGGAAATGCGGAGAATCTACTTTGGTACTAGAGAACTGAATGGGCCATCTGTGTTTTCTGTCAATATTTAACTCGCACTTCAACTGCTGTACTGGTAGCTATTGTGGCAACAGCTTTTATGATGAATCTGCAGAGAAGTAAACAAAGAAATAATATTAGCTGGATTCCATTATTTTCCATATAACTAGGAAAGCTCCTGTTAAAAATGTTGCCTACTAATGCAGCAGGGGGACTATATCCCCATAGAGATGAAACTGGGAAGAGAAGTTTTTTATGTGGGGCCCAGTGTGCATATGCAGAGATGCTGAAGACCTCCTATAGCAGCCATAGAGAACTTGTGTGTCCCTCCAGATATTGTTGGACTACAACCATGGCCAGTGGTCAGGGATTAGGAAATTTGTACTCCAGCAATATCAGGAGGAGCATACAAGTTGTCCCTCTCATATTCACAATGATGATCACAGATATTGAGCTAATGAAAAGTCAACAGACAAGATTGTGTACTGCTGTGTTGCATCATATAATGTGCAATTGAGATTAGAAGCTTGCTTTCACAAGACCCTTGTGTGTGTTGCCGTTGTGATTATCTGGAGTAAAATCAAAACACAGTTCAAAACTTTCCTCACTCCAATTACAGACAATAAAAATTAAGGACATTTGCGGCTGACGGATTTAAATGAAAGAGCTAGGCATTTGGTTTTCTCTTTTATGTTGAAATCAGTGGGGCTTAGAAATGCTCAGTTTTAAACTGGGTCACACCCAATTTTATTTAAAAGATCACTTTGTATTATAATTTGAGGTTTATATTCATATTTACAGTGTTATAAAACAGACATATTTAACATCTGCTTCCCCTCCCACCCTTTCTGTTATTGTAGATACTTTTTATTTAAAACAAAGGAATGTATGAAGCTGCCTTATTTCAGGGGAGACCAGTGATCTATCTAGCTCAGTATTGTCTACCTCTGGTGTGGCTGGATCCATCCGAAAGACATGATCCCTTTCCCTTCCTATAGGTGAACTTTTAAAGGTGGGCAGGGGCTCACTGTAACAGTCAATCAGCTGATTGGCAGACCCCTTTGAAGTTCATTTGCAGATGTGGCGTGGATTCAAACCACACCAGCAAATGACCATTTTCCCTCTTAACTTAAAAATAAGTATAAATGTAAAAAACAATCCAGAGCCTTTTGCTAGATGCAACTATGCCTTCACTCATTCAAAGCACATCACTTACCCCAAAGAATCCTGAGAACTGCAGTTTATTCCTCACAGAGCTACAGTTCCCAGCACCATTAAAAAAACCATTGTATCTACTCTTTATCAAAAGACTGGCTACTATCCTATTGTATATTTCCATTAACAAGAATTCTGATATATAAAAGAACTAAGCTTTGCATATGTGTGAGGGTTCAAAGAGGTAATGTTAAAAAGCAATTGTAGTGAATACTTACATTTTTAAAATGAAAGATCATATCAGAAGTAAAGCCCTGCTGTTTCCATCTTATCATCTGTTGTAAGAAGCAGGTGGATTAGATTGCTTGACCTTGCCCTTTGTCAGCAAAGATTAAAGCAATTGTTCACCTTAAAATACAGAATGAATCATCTCAGAGGAAGAGAACACGGTAGGCAAATAGTGTTTTGTTCCCTTCATTGTAATATGGTCTAGTCATACTCAACAATGCTGTAAAGTAATGGCTGCATCCCACAGCCAAAAACCTTTCCTAGAGCACAGTCTGATTTCTACCAAACATAGGAAATTAAATTAGAGAGGTTTTAAAAATTGAAGCAAGAATCCAGGCAGCCATTCCTACATAACAGAAGTTGTCCCTTGGTAGATGATGCGCTTGTGATGCTTTGAGACATCAGAAACTCCATTGGGTTGTATACACATTCTTGTTTATTCTGCACCCAGTGCACTTCCACTGCTGGTTTGGAATGACATTAGCCACAATCAGCATCCTTTATCTATCTGGCCGTTTCTGATGAAATACTGCTTTTTGGTGCAATTTCCCCAAAATCAGTTTTGATCTGATCTGTGAAAATAAACCTCCTAACTGTGCTGTAAGTAGTAATGTGTAGACAGAGTCAGATCTCGCTGAGTGCAGAAAAACTGGATAGAGCTCATTATATTAGAACTTGGGAACATCCAGTTAAACCAGATATTGGAAGATTCAGGACTGACAGATAAAACACTTCTCCATACAGCCAGAGCCGTAGCTAGGTGATCTTGCCCCCTAGCCACGGACAAATCAACTCTTCTTTCCGCCTCTCCTCCAGCACCACCCCCATTCAATTCAATTCACCCTCTATTTAAAACCTTTTCTTATGATGCAATAATCAATATTTTTTTATAGACGTATTTATGGACATATTTTTAGCCAATTTTGCGCGTTCCCTTTCCTGTGCCCCTGGCAGGGGCTCACCTCACCACCCTCTAGCTACGGTCCTGCATACAGCACATAATCTGTGGGATTCCCTCCCAGAAGCAAGGTCCACCAATTTTGAAAGTTATTGTATTAGAACTAGAGGGTGTCTGCATTGGAATCGTTGGAATCACATGTCAACTTCAGAAGAAAATAAGTTCCCATTAAAAGAAAGCATCCGTTGAAGCCGGCTGTGTTGTTTCCATTTATAAATCGCTTTCCATAGATGCAAATTTCAGGAAACAAAATTGAAGCAAGGTGATTGTTGTAGTTTTAGGGTAGTGAATCACAATCACCAGATAGCTTTGGGTTTAGAAAGAGAGGGGGATTAAGCAAACTTTCCAAACATTTATTTTCAAACAGAATGATGGGTGGGTGGGGTGGGAAGCCCACAGTGATCGGCATGACAATAACTTAAGCATAGAGAAGAAAAACTCAGAACCTAAACCTCTGCTGCCTTGTGGGGAATCTTCAGGAGAAGATAAAGCTAAGGAGTAAAACCTACACAGAACCAGAGTGCAGTCCCTAAGACAATTGGATGGCGCCCTGTGTGCCTCCTTCTGGCAACTCCTGCAGCCAAGCTGCTGCCAAACATTTGCCCTGCTTCCCTTTGGACCACATTGTTGTCTGGCATCCCAGGACCTCCACACACAATACCCAGGCTTGCACCCCAGAGAGATCACTTTGGTGTTGCTAACGGTTTGACTTTGGAGGCACACTCCATTCTCTCTCTCAAGACACATGAATGGCAGCAACAACAGAGGTTGGGGTGTATCTTAGTAGTATTGGGATCCCACCATTCCTCCAATGGACTCAGAACAGTTTTCTCCTGTGTCACAGTGTCTTAATGGCGAGGAATGTCTGCCTAGCCCAAAGTCGCCAAGTGAGCTTCGTTGCTGACACAAGGACATTGGAGACTGCCCTTCCACCAAGTCAGGCCACTAGCTCAGCACTGGCCATGCTGACTCGCCATGGTTCTCCAGGATTTCAGGCAGCATACACTCCAAGCCCTACCTAAAGATGCCAGGGTTGAACCTTGTACCTTGTGCATGCAAAGAGATGCTCTACCCCTGAGCTATTGCCCTGCCCCAGGCCTAATACACAATCCACTATACCATGCTGTCTGATGAGAATTTCCAAATTATACATCAGTCTTGGGAATCTGAATGTACTGTGTATATATGTGAGTGTGTACATACATACAGCACAGCAGCAATATATGGCTTAAAGCATTTGTTCTTAGTTTCTATTTACCCTGATACTCCTCTAGACACCCTCATTTGAATAGTATGCCTGAACAAATGATCAGGTTACACCTGTTTAGGTTACACTGCCTAGGAAACCATCATACTCCATTTTCAACGCTTGACGCTGTAAAACTCCGTTTCTGGGAAAGCAAATGATTAATTTTTAATGGTACCAGAAACCTGCTGCGTGCTTTTTTTTGACAGCCATCTGCTGCTCTACAAGGTAAGTCTGTTTTCCACTTATGATAAAGTGTGCGTATATGTGTGTTCTTTTTAAACAGGATGGAAGTATAACAGCTTTTTAAAATCTTAAGTGCAGCATCAGCAGCAACAGAATATGGCCAAGCAAAAGTGTTTTGCTCAGAAATGTACAAATGCTCATGGAATAGGAGTCAGGGGGGGGGAGCTGGTTGTGGAAGTGGATGGGTGGATGTTTTGCTATCATAAGTAGCAAGAAGACCTGTCGTTCTGTAATGGTCAGTTGCGAGGTACTTAAAGCTTGGATCCCGATACTTCTCCATTTTTTACTGTGCTGGTTGTTAAAAAGTGTTAGCGTTTGTAAACACGACCACTTGCTTATCGATTACTCTGGGGACTCTCTTTACACTCTATTAACTCTCACCAAAAGAAAAAATATTTCCAATTCAACTAACCAGAAATATGATGAGAATTAGTAGTTGTAGCCAAGAATGTGCAGGAAATCTACTTGCAGCATTGCTATATGTACCTTTGTCATCCATGGAAATATTTCAATAAAAACTTTTTTTTTAAGTATAAAGAGACAAAGTGAGAATTAAAAAGGCTAATCCTGTATTGTAGGAGCAAATTTAATAGGGGCCATGTCACTTAGAATTACAAGTGCATCACCACCAACCTTACCTAGGGTGGGTCACACCCTGCCTTAGGTCACCATGTCAGCTTTTTTTAACAAGGAGAATGAGAAGGAAGCGAAAGAGAAATAAGGCAAACGTAAAACTAAGGCAATAGGAGGGCAGATCTAGGAAGGAATAGGTGAGAATTAGCCTTCACCAACCTGGTGTCTGACCAGCACTGGAAGTTGTGGCACCAAATCCTCTGGTTGGCAAAGGATGTCTAAGATGAAGAGTCTGATGTGAATCCCCTGTTGAAGGCTGGCGTGAAATGCCCCTCCCCCAAGGTATGGGAAGGATGGAGACCCTTGCAATGTGGGGTAGAGCTTTTGTGCCTTTGGAAATGATTTAGGAGGGAATATGGTAGAAAGATAAGCTGTTCCTGCATTGTGGTAGGAGAACTTGCATCTGCTGGAGTTCTCTTGATGATGAACCTACTGAACTACCCAAGGGGATAGTTTCTTTAAGTAGGGGTGCCCAAACTTTTTTCAAAGAGGGCCAGATTTGATGAAGTAAACATGTGTGAGGGCCGATTTTGTAGTTGGAAAATTTAGGATTTTACCCCAGGAGATAAACTGCCACAGGGGCCAGATTAAACCAACTGGTGGGCCGGATTAGACCCCCGAAATGGACTTTGGACATGCCTGCCTTAAAGCAAACGGGACTTCACAATGTACATGATCGTTAAAGGCCATTATAAAATATAAAGACAATTAGTTCCTGACAAGACATTGCGCTGAACAGCTTTTTAAGTGGAAATAAAAATAAAATAAAATAAATTTTCCAGTAGCACCTTATAGACCAACTAAGTTTGTTCTGGTATAAGCTTTAGTGTGCATGCACACTTCTTTCAGAACAAACTTAGTTGGTCTATAAGGTGCTCCTGGACAATTTTTTATTTTTTAAAAAATTAATTTTTTGACTATGTCAGACCAACACGGCTACCTAACTGAATCTAGCTTATTAAGTGGTTCTTGTGGCTTCTCCTAAGTATTAGCATTAAGTACTAGCAGGATGGAATTTCACAACTGATAATTATGAAAAGATTGATGTTAAGGTAATAACATATATGAAAGCGTTCGATGTTTCAGTTCTCTCTCGTGTATACATTTAAAGCGCATCACTTCCCCCCAAGGAATCCCAAGGACTGTAGTTCACCCCTCAAATAACTACAATTCCAAGCACCCTTAAACTACATTTCCCAGAATTCTTTGGGGAAAGCTATGCCCTTTCAATGTGCTTTAGGTGTGTGGGATGTATACCTGTATAGGCATCACATAAAGAGGGGACATGTGCGGGGGGCGGGGGAGGGCAAAGAGGCAGAGGCAGAAAAGGGTTGATTTTTCCTGGATCTCTCTCCATGTTACATGGCAGTGGTTTTAAAATTTTTAGGAGGAAGGGAAGGCTAATCTGCAGAATTCTGTCATAACACCTGATCTTACAAGCTGCTTTGCTCATACAAGAACTCACAGGATTGGTCTGTTATGTCCTTAACCCTAATGAGCGTATTGTATATCCCTGTGGCACACATGCTTCAACTTTTCACCGCCAGGCTAGACAAGCACAGATGCAGCAGCCACTCCCTTGCTTGCAATGTTGCTGTGCTGAGAAAGGAAAAGACCCACTGGGTGCCCCAGTCTGATACATGCCCCTGGAATGTGACCAGTGTTCCCTGCGTTGTGTGTTGCAACAGTACCTGTGGCAAACATGATCACCCGTAAAGAGTAAAGCAGTCTCCAGAGCCTCCATCAAATGACATGTCTACTTACATTTCTTCATATGATGGGAGCGACAGCTGCTGTGGAATATTTAATGTTTAACTCCATGTTACCTGTCAGTGTTCTCCCATTTTGGTGGACAGTGCTGTTTTTGATTCAGAGTTCCATAGATCTAAGGAGTCAATGGCTACTAGCAAAGATGGCAATGTTCTCATGCCACTGTATGCTTCTGAAGGGGGTATGGGGTGTGCGATCTCAGCAATCTCAGCATACCCACCACGACATTGGACGGGTGTGGATATACGTACACACCAATTGCAGCGACTGTCTGCATCCATTTTCAAACGAGCGCACTATGGGGTAATGCAGAATCAATCTGCAATGAACTTTTGGGAAAGGATAGCGCAGTTGGTAGAGCATGTAACTCTTAATCGTAGGCTTGTGGGTTCCAGCCCCACATTGGGCACAAAAGATTCCTGCATTGCAGGGGGTTGGACTTGAAGACCCTCTTGGTCACTTCCAGTTTTATGATTCTATGAACCCACTTTTCAGGAGCAAAAAAACATGCAATATATCTAGATTGTGTGCGGACTGTGTAGAATAAATAACTACCCAATCGCTATTCAATCTAGAATCAAATGTCACGTGTACACAGCCTATATTGCCTTCCATGAACAGGCTACTTTGGATGTAAGCTGGTAGTTTTTAAAAAGGTGCAAACCTTGCAGCTGATTGAAATAAGTCCTGCATTGACCTGCTCCTCTTCTTCATTGAATTCGCCCCGCATCATGTGATTTCTTTCAAAAATGGGGGGCGGGGACTTGTATTCATGGATGTATTCCATAGGGGAGGCTAATCTTTGGCCCTCCAGATGTTGCTGAACATCTTTCATCCATGACCTTTGCCCATGCTGACTGGGTCTGATGGGACTTGCAGGTCAACAACACCTGCAGGACCACAGGTTAGCCACTCCTACCCTATTGCCTTCCACCAGCAGCTTGCTCATTTCTCTTAGCAGAAGGCACACCTAGCAATTTCACTGTGCATGTGCACTGGGATCAGTATCTCCTCCATCCTTATCTAAAGGTTCTTCCTCAATCCTTATGAGTAGCTTTCACAACCCTGGGGAGCTAAAGTTGGCAGAAGTCAGGAGGCAGGGTTAAAACAATGGAGTGCCTGTGATGTTCTGTGAATCATTGTTAGAATCTTGTCCAATCACTTTAATAGAATCCTCCTTTTCTTTTTCAAGTATCCACAGCCTAGAGAGTGTGTAAAATCATAGAATTGTAGAATTTGAAGGGACCCCGAGGGCCATCCAGCCCAACCCCCTGCAATGCACGAATAGGCAGCTGTCCCACACAGGGATCAAGCCTGTAACCTTGGCATTATCAGACCACACTCTTAACCAACTGAGCTATCCAGGCAGGCATGACAACGGATAATTAAAGTTCAACTTAAGGAGTAACTAGAAGAGAAATGGTTCCTTGACTTAATTAAGTTCTTTGGATCTGCCTGGCTGGCTATATATCCAGGCTCCACCTGTGCTTTATGTTTAATTGATTATAAATAAGATTTAGAAAGTTTCCACTCCACTGATGCAAAGGGCCTCCGCGTGTGATGGGCTTTATGCATCCTGCCATGATGTGCTCTCTCCTTGTATCTGTTTTCCCCTTGATTATTTGCAGCAATCTGTTCTGAATCAAGGCCTCGACTCCAGAGTACATGACTTGACAGGTGTTACAGTAGAAGAGATGCTGCTCTGGGGCCTTTTATTGTGATACAGCAAGAGAAAGTAACACAGACTAATGATAAAGTGAGAGAGCAGTGCCACCTCTCAGCAAAACTGTGGAACTGAAAGTTGGTCTACTCTGCAGACTACTATACAGCAAGGATGGGAGAATCATAGAATTGTAGAGTCGGAAGGGGGATCATTTGTTCCCTCATGCTAATGCTAGGAGCTGTAGGCTAGAACCTGTCAGCCATTTCACTTGCTCATATTTTGGGAAGTCTGATAATGGAAAGGAGTTCTTGCTATGAGAAAACATGGGAAATGACATGAAAGCAGATAGCAGGAGTAGATTAATGAATAGTAAATAATAGGTCATCATCAAGCAATTCTGTAGACACTTAATGATGCTATCAAATTCCTATTTCATTTACTTAGTCAGATTTATATACTGTTTCATTAAAAATATCTCCAAGCGTGAACACAATATTATAAAATACAGTGGTACCTCGGGTTAAGTACTTAATTCGTTCCGGAGGTTTGTTCTTAACCTGAAACTGTTCTTAACCTGAAGCACCACTTTAGCTAATGGGGTCTCCCGCTGCCACTGCGCCGCTGCAACCCGATTTCTGTTCTTATCCTGAAGCAAAGTTCTTAACCTGAAGCACTATTTCTGGGTTAGCGGAGTCTGTAACCTGAAGTGTATATAACCTGAAGCGTATGTAACCCGAGGTACCACTGTATTATGTAAACCGAAGTACGAGGAGGCCTACGGGTACTATATGTTATTACCTTAACCATCCCTATCAGTCTTTTCATAATTATCATAATTATCACCGCTAGTACTTGTAGGGCCCCTCAGACCTGGCCCTGCCCTCTACACCCCAGAAGCCTTTGACAAGTCCAACCGTTACACGGTGTGTTTGGCCTAAGCAAATACTTGGGGGTGGGGAATTTAGTAAGACTACTGGTTTGGAAACTAGGTAACCATACCAGTCAAATCTAGAATGACCAAAGAAATCATGGACATGAGAAAATAATAAGAGGGCTTTATCCAGTGCTACAGCTCTGATGGCACCATGTGCTTTCATGCATGCCACAGAGTTTCAGATTCCTCTTCTGTCTCCTCCAGCACCCCATGCATCCTCCAAAGCCAGCTCTTGAGGGTTGGGGTACCGTATGGAGCAGTTTTGGGGATGGCACTGGGGAGGAGTGGATACTGAAGTCATTGGAACTACTAGCATTGGCTACAACTCCCAAATCTGAACTTGGTTTTATTCTTTAAAATCATGCATGACAAAAAAGAACTGCCTCATACGTTACCCGAGTGTTGGTCCAGTCGTGACCGACTCTGGGGTTGTGGTGCTCATCTCGCTTTATTGGCCGAGTGAGCCGGCATACAGCTTCCAGGTCATGTGGCCAGCATGACTAAGCCACTTCTGGCGAACCAGAGCAGTGCACGGAAACGCCATTTACCTTCCTGCCAGAGCGCTACCTATTTATCTACTTGCACTTTGACGTGCTTTCGAACTGCTAGGTTGGCAGGAGCAGGGACTGAGCAACGGGAGGTCACCCCGTCACAGGGATTCAAACCGCCGACCTTCTGATTGGCAAGTCCTAGGCTCTGTGGTTTAACCCACAGTGCCACCTGCATCCCTGTTATATATATTACATGTACGTATGTTATATATATATATATATATATATATATATATATATATATATTCATGTATGGGGTGATAATGAACTGTTCCCAGCACCTAAGAATACCCTTGACATCTACATTCCAATGGGAGGAGCTAATGAGAGGAGTTAAGGAAAGTTTTGTTATTTCCAGTTTACAGATGGAATTTAAACTCAAATCCAGCACTTGGTCCCCCTGAACAACCAATTATAATCGTGAGTTATTGTACAATTGGATTGAACATCACTTTTACAATCTAATGAGTAATGTAATTCAGTTTGGATGTCCTGTGTGTTGTGTAAATAAAAATAAAGTGAGGGCATTTTCATTTTGTGTATTTGTTTTGTTACAGTTCCTTTCCCCTTTCTGAAGTGGAAGCAATGAGCTGGTCATTCCTCCGTGATGTCCTAAGCGGGGTGAACAAATACTCAACTGGAATCGGCAGAATCTGGTTGGCTATTGTGTTTATCTTCCGCCTCCTTGTCTACGTTGTGGCTGCAGAACAAGTCTGGAAGGATGAACAGAAGGAGTTTGAGTGTAACATTAGGCAACCTGGCTGTGAAAATGTCTGCTTTGACTACTTTTTCCCAGTTTCCCAGGTGAGGCTTTGGGCCTTACAATTGATCATGGTCTCCACCCCATCCCTTCTTGTCGTTCTCCACGTCGCCTATCGAGAAAGCAGGGAAAAGAGACACAGAAAGAAGTTGTATAAGGACCCAGGAAGCATGGATGGAGGGTTGCTATGCACCTATCTCATCAGTCTCATTTCCAAAACAGGATTTGAACTCGGCTTCCTCTTTTTGTTTTACAAGCTGTACGGCGGATTCAACGTGCCCCGCCTTGTGAAATGTGACATGAGTCCATGTCCCAACACCGTCGATTGCTACATCTCCAAGCCCACAGAGAAAAAAGTCTTCTTGTACATTGTGGTGGTGACGTCCTCCTTGTGCATCATCTTAAATGTAATCGAACTCACCTATTTGGTTTTCAAGTACTCCATCAAATGTTGTTTCAGAGGCTACATCGAGAGAGTTCAAGAATCCAAACGTGAAGACAAAAAGTCAAGTTCTGTGAATCACAATGGAACCACCTTATTTCAGGGCAATGATGAAGTCACTATCTTCGGTATCCAAGGAGATGGAAGAATCTTGCCCACCAGCCAACAGCAAGAATAACAGGCACACAATGTTAATTAAAATGCATTTTAATGAGTTTAGGACAGCTTGGGATTTTAATCAGCAGGCTGTGTTTTCCAGACTTGGGAGTTATTTAGGTTCACCAAGTTTAAGATGCAAAACCTGACATTTCCTCAAGATGTATAAATATTGATATTTATGATATAGAATGCTGAAAAGAACAGTAAATTCAATAGTCACTTTGAATGTTTTCGCACAACAATTCAGTTTAAAAAGACAATTTAATTGGGTGAAATCCAAGATTGTGTAAGTAGAGTAACCGGCTTTGCCCTTCTCCCCCAGGAGTCCTCTAGATCTGCTCTGGTCTCCCATCTATCTGAAACAGATTTTGGAGGGGTCATGAGCTAATGACTGTTCCACTTATACATGGACATCATAAGATTCAAGCCCCCTCTCTTATTTCAAGCCCCAAAGACAAGACCTTACCTATTAAGACAACCCTGCCATTGGCTGGTTATAGTAACTTACTAGCCTCAACTGTGTGAGACTCCGGTTACCATTCTCAGATCCATCCCTGTACTGACACACTGCATTTGCAACTGAAGCTTCTTGCCTCATGTACTGCCCCATTTTACTTATGAGATAGTTTAATTCTGTTTCTACTTAGTTGCTCATATGAACGCTATTGTGTATTTTTTTTACATGTCATTGTTATGTCTACTTATATCTCGTGTTAACCACTTCATTTTTGTAAAAATATTATTAAGCAGTACATAATAAATACTACATTAAATACCTGTCTGGAAGCACCCTAAAACTAGGTTTCTATTTTCCTACAAAAATAAATGCAAATAAATAAGATTGTCATCACGCAGCCCCCATTGGAGGATTGGTTGTGTTTCATCACAGTCTTGGATTTGCATGAAGTTGGAGTAGCGAAAGGGAGCAAAAAGGAACTGTTGCACCACAGCAGTAGCTATGGCATGGGGAGAGGAGGGAGGGACGCAAAGAGGGGGGAAATGGTGGTTTTAAACACGAAAGGGCAGAGAGTAAAATAACAGTTTTAAAGAACAGCAGAGGTTTGAATAAAGCAGGGATGGAGAGAAACTTAGTGGCGATTTTAAACAATGGCAAAGGTTTGAGTAGAGAAGGCAGGGGTTAAAGGGCAGTTTGAAACAATATCAGAGTACAGTGAGAAGGAAGTTGGAAAACACTGTTTTGTGTTACTTTTTTGCATTAACTTTTGCGTTGTACCCATCCCTGCTCATTTCTCTATGTTAAAACTGGTTTGTTTTGTTTTTTAAAAAAGAACACCCCTCAGTGTAACTCCACCCCTACTTTACTCAAACTTCTGCCACTGAGTACAGCAAGAAGGGAGCAACACTGTAAGGGGCAAGGGTTTTTTTTCCCTGTTTTAAACTTCTCCCTCTTCTATTTCTCATCTGCGGCAGCAGGAGGGCCCATTAGCTAAAGTGGTGCTTCAGGTTAAGAACAGTTTCAGGTTAAGAACGGACCTGCAGAACGAATTAAGTTCTTAACCCGAGGTACCACTGTAAAGGAGACAGGGAAATAGCAGCGATCTGTGTAGGAGAGTTGAAAAAAAGAGGGTGGAAAAGGGGGAATGTAACGGGGGTACGAAAGGGGTTGCAGGAAAAAAAGGGGGACGAGGCATGTGAATAGGGTTGAAGATGAAAGCAGGGGGATGAAAAGGTCTGAAGAATAGGAAGAGATGGTGGCTTCATAGCTGGGTGGAAGGTGAAAAGGATGCTTAGTAGTTGCAATGTTCGGGAGTAAGAAGATGCAGGAGTTAACCATGGGGGTGGTTAGTGTGCAAGGAAAGGTTGCACAAAATGTGGGGGGACATGGAGGTGAAGGTGAAAACAGAAGAGCAAAGTGGCTTCAGAAATAGGATTGGGTATGTGACAAGCAAGCTTCGTAGTTGCATGGGATGGGAAGGGGGAGCTCTACTGTGTTAATGTGGGAGGAATGGCAGCGAGTTGGTTAGTGGAGTGAGCAGGAGCATAGCCCTTAAAATGCAGGATATAATTCCAATTTTGGCTGACCTGAACTGGTTTCATTAGTTTCTGAGCTCACTTCTAAGTGCTGCTTATTATCATTGAACACCCAAAATGATTTGGGTTAAAAGCATTTAAAGGAATGCTGACCATAGCTGTCAACGTTTCCCTTTTTTAAAGGGCAATTCCCTTATTCCAAATAGGATTCCTCGCAAGAAAAGGGAAAATTTGACAGCTATGATGCTGACTCCCACAATATTAATCTTGACTGTTAAAAGATCTTCTTTCTTTGATGGGCTCTTTGTGATCAATTCCCACTTCACCCGTTAGAATCTGAAAACTTGTTCTCATTAATTTTGTAAGTTAATTTTGCTGCCATTTGTTTTTGTTTTCTTGGATTTTAATTGCCTGTGTTTTGATTTCATTTTTGTAAGCCACTCTGGGCAGAAAAAGAGCATAAACACACTGAGGAGAATCAAATGCTAAAGTTTCCCAATATGTTTGGCTCTGAAATCCAAAATGATGTGTCTGGAATAAAATAAGGCAGCTAAATCTAACGTCCACCAAGATTTAGAACACATAAGCTATTGGTGATTTGTGGTGTTACAAGTAGTTTATCCAAGGGCACAAGAACACAGAATGCTGCCTTATAACTAGCCAGACCATTGCTTCGTCTAGCTCAATATTATCCATCCTGACTGGCCGTAGTTCTCCAGGGGTTCAGACAAAGAGCATTCCCAGCTCCATCCAGAGGTTTTGGGGATAAAACCTGTGACCTTCTTGCATGCTCAACCACTAAGCTATGGCTCTGGTAAAGCTCATCTGAAAGCACTGCATGAGGATTTGACATGAGAAAATGTCAAAGAACAAAAAAGGTCACTGTTGAAGGCTATTAAATCAATTGCCTTTTTGTTACAAAGCAAACATATACAATTCTCATGACATATTTTTACAGAAATAAGCTTAACACACCCCAGAATACTAAATGCTAGCTGGCAAGTTGCTCCCACTTTTTCTGAGCAATAGTGTGATGTCAGCAAATTTAGATCAAGGCAATTTTTGCTGAAATAAAATATGAAATAAGCAAACACATTAAAGTTATTTCCATGTGAACATTGACTTCAGTTTTGTATTTTTTTAAAAAACTACGTTTATTAAAGTGACAAAGATTTGCATTTTCACCACTCTAATTGTATTCAAGCGTATCTTATTTGCCATGTCTGCGGGCCTTTTCCTACATGATGTTTTGGAAGGGAACACAGACATCAACATGATATATCCAATAGCTGAGGGCAAAAGTGGGTTTTGGGGTCTGCACCCATACAATTTCCTAACAAGCAAGGCCTCTGACTTATGTATCAATTTTCCCAACTCTTCCGAGGGCTAACTTCTTTCTAACTGCCTAATGAACAGATAACCCCCCCCCCGAGAATAGTTTGCTTTCCAAAAACTGGGGGGAGCTCCTGAATGAAGATACATAAACTATGATAGAATGATTGTTATTAAGGGTGGATGCTAGGCCAGTGACAGTGAGAGCAGGGCCCAGAAGGTAACCCAATAGGGATTCCTATTTGCAGAAGGATGGCGAGGGGCATTCATGCCCTATTCTGGACAATTTGTTGGGTTCTACAAAAGAACTGTGAAGGGGGCGGGGGAGAAAGGGTTGTCAGGCAAATTGCCATTCATAAGTTGTCCACAAGTGCAATTTTGTGTCCCATCGTCTCAACACACCTGTGCTTGGTCTGGGTTAGGGGTGAGCAGTGAGGTGGCCAGGTCTGCCAGATACGAAATCATTCATGGTCATTAAAACAAAAAGGGGCTGTGAAGAGCTCCAAAAGGACCTCTCCAAATGGAATGGATGGTAAAATGCCCAATGTCATTCAACGTAAAGAAGTGTAAGGTGACAAAACGTTGGAGCAAAGTATCTTAATTGCACATATACATTTATGGGGTTGGAACTGGCAGTGACTGGGTCATAGCAGGTAGCCAGAATGCGGAAATCCAGTGTGCAGATGTAGAAAACAATCCCATGCTACGGATCATTAGGAAAGAAAGACTAAAATTACCAATACCGTTACATTATTCAAATCTGTGGTATGACTACATTTGGAATACTGCATACAGTTCTGGTCTCCTGAAAACAAGATAGAATCATAGAATTGTAGAGTTGGAAGGGACCCAAAGGTCATCTAGTCCAACCCCCTGCAATGCTGGAATCTCAACTAAAGCATCCATGTCAGATGGCCATCCAACCTCTGCTTAGAAACCTCCAAAGAAGGAGAGTCCATAACCTCCTGAGGGTGATATTATAATTAGAAAAGGTTCAGAAAAGGGCATCCAAAATTATCAAGCGGATAAGGAAAGGTTGCATTACTTCAGACTTTTCAGTTAAGAGAAAGGCCATGTAAGAGGAGAAATGATAGAAATGCATGGAATTATGCAAGACATGGAGAAAGTGGGCAGAGGCGTTTTTCTCCCTGTCTCATAAAGCTTTGTCCTTTCTTTGGGCTTCCCACAGGAATAGGGTGGACATCCAACAAAGCTGAAGGTTGGAAGAATTCAGAACAAAGTATTTCTTCATAGTAATCTATGGAATTCACTCCCATAGGAGGAAGTGATGGCCACCAATTTGCATGGTTTTGAAAAAAGGTCTAGACAAAATCGTGGAAAATAAGGCTATCAATGGCTACTAGCCATGAAGGCTATGCTCCATCTCCATAATCAAAAGCAAAATGCTTCTGAATACCAGTTGCTGGAAACTGCAGGGGAGTGCTATTGTGCTCAGGTCTACTTTGTATGCTTCCTAGGGGCATCTAATTGGCCACTGCAATAATAGGATGGACTAGACGGGCTACTGACCTGATCCAGGAGCTCTCATGTTCTTACCCGTTTCTAAATCACACAGCATAAGAAAGGCTGAGACAACATTATGTGAGCTTGTTGGGAATGAGGAACTTGGACCCCTTCAGATGTTGTTCACCTACAAATTCCATTACCTCTAATCACTGGAGCTGGCTAGGTTTCATAAATGTTGGGGGTCCCAACAGTATCTGGAGGGGCATATTACCAAACTCTGTTGTGGATGGACAAAACAAGAAAAAAGGAGGGCCTCTCCTTTCATGTTTGCCTCTTCCTCCTTTTAATCCCTCAAGTATTTTCATGAAGCAAGAGTGAGAGAAGTATGGTGAGCAAACAGTGCTTCTTGAAGAGTCCGGGCACAACCTGGGGGGTGGGAGTGGTTACTGTTGCATATTTGTTCCTTTAATAGACATTTTAAAATTAGAAACAGGTCTTTTATCCATACTTCACATTCAAATTCAACTTATCAAGTGAAATAAGCAATAGCGATAACCTGCAGAAGATAAATTAGTCAGTTATATCTACTATAGGCTTCACTGAAGTCTAACAATCAGTAAGAGAATCCACTTGACCCATCACAATTCAATCCTTTTCCAGCTGCATCAGCCATATATTTATATATGAAAAGGAAGTTGTGCTTATTTTTTCTGGCTTGTGTGTACATGTACTCTTTATTATGGCAGTATCACACTTCTATTTTGACCTTGGTGACATAAAAATTTAGTGGGAACAAGTATTTTGAGCTCAAATACAAATCTTTACTGCTACCATGATGGCAAGTACTGGGTTGCTAATAATCTGTCTCAATGTGGTGCCAAGTGAAGGAGTAAGTCTATGCTACACCAGCTCATCATTAATTCCTCTTTCTCACCTACTGCTCCCTTGCTCTGCTGCCAGGAAAGACGTTTTTGAGATACTAGGACA